GGCTCTGCCAGATTTGGGTACAATCTGTATTATAGAAAGGCCTCTTTCTCTTTTTTCCCCCCGTAGTCTCAGGCAATTGTGGGTGTGTTTATATTTCAAAGACATGATATATGTATAACTTCAGGGGGCAGACAAAGAATGCAAGTTCCTCCAGGAAGGATTTGGGTTTCCTCAGACCGGTATCTCATAAGCCCTTTGAGATACACAGGGAAAGTTTTGGGGTTGGCAAAAGAATAGGTGAATTTTGAATTGCCTTTCGAACTGACTTTTTTATGGTTTCTGTCAAGGCAATTCAGACAGAGGATAACTTAGACTGAGTATTCAAATAAAGGAGGATAGTGGAAAGCAATAAGAATTATATCAATCTTAAAGTCTTTTGTATTGGATACGTCATTTCTTTTTTCACCAGCTTTTTGCAATGACACTTTCAAAGAAACTATTTTTGGAATTTTGAAGGTTTTGCTTTTAAGTGCACTTCTTATGTGATCTTATCTGATTAAAATGTTCCTCATAAAGGCCACTGTAATTCTATGTTGTAATTCCCTTGAGGACTGGCAGCAGTTTGGTACAATCCTAGCCATAAATGGATTTTAACTCACATTTCTGTCCAACCATATCTAGTCACAAATAGGGAGTGGCTCACATTGTTGTCTGGCCTTACTTTGTGGCTACCAACCTGAAAGTTACCAAGCCAAGTTGTTAGGGACACAAAACAGGCTTGTAAATGCTTATAGCTTGCAGAATCATTTATATGAAATAAACAATGTGCGGGAGGTTAGAGCACTTAACTGGATTTTAAAAAATCCCATTTATTTTTTTTTGTTTATTTATGTATTCATTTATTTACTATTTTTTCTTTGAGGCTTAATCTCATGTACACATTAACAGAAACCAACAATACTGAAGTAGTGGAACTATAAACAACAGCAGTACCCTAATAATTCGGGACTGGGACAAGGATTGAAGCAGCAGACCTCTAAGAATGGGGACTGCAGCCTGATTCAGCACACATGGAGAACTGTAGCTGCCACCAACAGTTCCCTACTTGGAATCTGAGTTCAGAACCAAGGGCTAAGTTTAGAAGTTACTGTGAACTGTTCGATAAAGTGTCTTCTACACTTCACCACCGATGTCCATCATGGACTAAACCAGCAGGTTCCATTAATGAAGACTGCAGACAGAAAGTGGGGAACAGACTAAGCCACCAAAGAGCAGTAAATACGGACTGTAGACTGGAATTGGGGAAGGGATTCCAATGTGGACTTGTGGATTGAACCAAGGGCTAAGGGCTGGTGCTCTTTCAGTCTTCAGTGTCAGTGACAGAGTGATCTGTTAACCTGGACTTGAAAGGCAATTCAATCAGGAATTCTAATGCAAAAAAGAATAGAGCTCAAAGCAAGATGGACTTACCAATGGCCCTTGGAAATGTTGAGAAAGACTGTGAACTCAAAAGGATTCATGGGGTGCCACACCTGTGTTTCTTTTTGTTCCCAAATACAGTCAGAAGTTTGCTTCAGATCTAGACACTGCCACCAAATCTGTTAAAAAACAAAATTCAACCAAGTATATTCTAAAGACCTAATTGGATTTATTAAATGGTTTATGAATCAGAGAGTATCTCACCTAGCAAATAGAAAGGAGCTCCATCGAGGTACTGAAAGGAAAAGTTTTTAAGTGCAGAGAGAAAGCAGATAAGAATCCATTGTTTTAGCCAAGTTTGCCCTCCTAAGGGGAGAGAATGGGGTCTGTCAGTATAGTTTTTAGTGGTCACCAGGAAATAGCCAAGTTGACTACTGAAAGATTACATCCCTGGGGGTTGAAACTGCTGTTAGGTATTAGCCTTGGTTTACTGACTTGGGGCATAAACTTAAGGGGCTACATTATGGCCCTGTGGCTTTCTTTTTAACACATCGCTCCATAGAACTGTGAGTCATGTTGTTGAGAGGATAAGAAATGTATGTAGAGATGCACATCTAAGATTTATTGGCATGGATTTCTCACATTCTCTCCCATTTCTACCCTGGCTGCAGAGGACACACTGCCGGAGGCTGGAATACAGCTCCCAAGGATACCATAAAGTGCTCTGCCCCTGCTCCCCCCACATTGCTGTTGCAGCAGAAAATAATAAATAACAGAACGTCATATACAACATCAAGTGAGGTATGGAAACTTAACAATAGGGCATGGCTTTTGTGAGGTTGAAATTTGCTCAGTACCCAGAATTTTGCTGTCCGCATCTGTTTGCCCTCCCCATCCTATCATTTGGTTTCCTTTTGCTGTATTTTTTCTATTTCTCAGGACTTGTCTCAGTCAGAGATTCCTTGTTCTCTGTGTATTTTCCCACACATTCCCTGAGAATGCACAGGCATGAGGCCACACCTGATAGGGTTGAAGTCTCACCTTGTTGGCTCCTCCTTGAGGCCCCGATTGTATATGCCTCTTTCACATTCAGGCTTGCTCCTTCTGCTTTGTGTACTGCCTGCTGTCCAAAGGGGTGATAGTGTTTGCTCTCCAAACAGCAAGGGGTTGGCCTTGCACATGCCACATGCTCAAGATTTCCACTCTTCTGCATGTGAAGAATATTCCTGCTGAGCAGTCACAAGTGCTTTTTTAGTTGCTTAATAGCTGCCCCTTTCAAGCTAGATTCCCACAGTTCTGTCTTCTAAGGAGAATGTCTGCATGCCCCATTCATATGTGTGCCAGTGCAGACAATGTACACTTGGTCTGAATAATTTCTTCCCAAATTTGTTTTTGCCATCCTCTGTTCTGGGCTGCAGCCTGTGGCTGCCAGGAAACTCCTAGATGTGTCTGATCCCTCACTTTTAGCCAAAGACACCTCTCCAGCCTGCATGCTGCCCAGACATCAGTGGTGACTTGAAGTGACTTGCTTCCTGGTCGAAAAACTTGGTTGTCTGTCAGGTTTGGCCAGCAAACCCTGAGGCAACAAATGAAACGATTACTTCAGACGCCTTAGTAGGAGAAAGGAGAGGGCCTGGGGACCAGATGCTCTAGTGGTGAAAGGTCACAAGCCAGACTCTGCCTCCACCTTTATTGTGAATATTATCAATACAACAAGGGAATAAGAAAAACAAGAAGGAATGTGGAGCTGTAATAATCAAGACAGTGGCATAAGGAGTATCATGTGACTAGAACAAGCTGTGCTTGTGATGGGCATGCAGACAGGGAGTGTGTGGAATGCATGACCTCCAAATATAATTGCTTCTACTAAGTCAAGGATTTACTCCCTGGATGAGTGCATTGAACCACAATGAGAATCTGGCTGTTTTCAGCCCAGAAATTTCAAAAAGGCCCAGTTTTCCACACACTTCTTTGCTTTTCAACCAGTCTCATCCAGGGAGGCATGTGTTTATTAAATCTTCTCTAGCCAGGCAATATGAATTCCCACAGTTGTCAATCTCCATAGGAGACAGTATACAAATACTTCACATTCCATTTAGTCCTGAGTATATGATTTTCTTTGTGCCCACATCTCAAGGTATTATAATCCTTCATGATCAGATAGGCCCAGGACTCCAGAACGAGCTCAGTTTGATTGTCAGCAGGCAGGGTGACAGAGGGACCTCCTTATCATGGCTGACTTTCTACAACATTCCACTCAACTCCTGCTTCAGTTTTCACTCACATCAACTTTTCCATTAACAACATTTTATATACCAGTCAGTCCTCCATGTGGTTTATCTCTCCCATATGGTTTCTGTCTCCTTTTATACACAGGCATGAAGCAGGGGATGGGTGGGGTCTCAGGACAGTTGGGGTGGTTCATAGCAAGTCCTAGGTGGATAGTCCAGCATGACTTTTTAGAACATGGGAATCCATGCCCCCTACTGTATCTACTCCCAGAAAAACAGAGAGTCCTTTCAACACCTATTTCATGAGCCAACATATTTTCTGATAAAAGAAAACACATTTCTTTTTTTTAAATCAGCATTTTAATTTTTTTAAAATTTTTATTGTTATGTTAATCACCATACATTACATCATTAGTTTTTGATGTAGTGTTCCATGATTCATTGTTTGTGCATAACACCCAGTGCTCCATGCAGAGCATGCCCTCTTTAATACCCATCACCAGGCTAACCCATCCCCCCACCCTCTCCCCTCTAGAACCCTCAGTTTGTTTTTCAGCATCCATCATCTTTCATGGTTCGTCTACCCCTCTGATTTACCCCCCTTCATTCTTCCCCTCCTGCTATCTTCTTCTTTTTATTTTCTTAACATATATAGCATTATTTGTTTCAGAGGTACAGATCTGTGATTCAACAGTCTTGCACAATTCACAATGCTCACCATAGCACATACCCTCCCCAATGTCTATCACCCAGCCACCCCATCCCTCCCACCACCCCCACTCCAGCAACCCTCAGTTTGTTTCCTGAGATTAAGAATTCCTCATCAGTGAGGTCATATGATACTTTCTAATCATTAAAAGTTTCTATCTCCTAATGATTATATACAGTATCTTTTCTGAGAAGGAAAAGAACCACTCATCCTTATTTAGCTACCTCATATGAGAACCAAGGTCTCGTGGTGATGTTGAAGGTGATCAGAAGTGGATTTTCTGGAGGGCCCCACAGCACAGGTGGGAAGGGGTGTGGGGATAAATGCTGGTGCTGACTTCTTAGATTTGCCACCATGAAGAAGTATTATTTTCATAACATTACAGATAAAGAAAACTAAAGCAAGATAAACAAAGAATAATGTGGGCAGGAAAGTTTGGATAGAAGAATCAGGCTTTGAAATTAGTCTGCAAGAATGAAAAGTATCATAAAGAAGAAGGGCTTTCCAAGATAAGGGAAGAGACTGAGCAAGGGCAAACTTTACATCTAGGTCAGAAGTCCACACATCTGGACAGAAAGAGAAGGGCTGCTGGATACAATTTTGTGGCCAGGACTGATATTATACCTGTCCCTAACAACGCATCCCAACCCACCCCTTGTTATACTAACTATTTTTCATTCCCTCTTCTCTCTTCCCTATAGTGCCTTCTACTGCTACAGCCATGGGTCAGTCCTCCTGTTCCACACCCTCTCATGGAAACGGTGGTGATTTGGCCTCCAGCTTTGATAAGTTTTTTAAGAACTACAAGCAGGAATGCAAAATCATCTCTCAGGAAGCCATCAAGTCAATTCAGTCAAGACTGAAGGAGGGGGACCTTCAGAGTGCAGTTTCTATAATCAGTGATATATTGAGAGACATCAATAATGCCCCACTGAGCATTGCTGTGACTGGGGAGTCTGGGACAGGGAAGTCCAGCTTCATCAATGCCCTGCGGGGCATGGGGGATGAGGAAGAAGGGGCTGCCCCTACTGGGCCAGTAGAGACAACCTTTGAGAGAAATAAATATAAACACCCAAAGTTTCCCAATGTGACATTATGGGACCTGCCTGGCATAGGGACCACTAACTTTGAGCCTCATGAGTATCTGGAGAAAATGAAATTTGGTGAGTATGACTTCTTTATTATCATCTCTGCTACACGCTTCAAACTCAATGATGCACAACTGGCTACAGCAATTGGAAAAATGAAGAAGAATTTCTACTTTGTTCGAACTAAAATAGACAGTGACTTACATAATCTAAAAAGGGGTCAACCCAACAAATTCAATGAACATGAAATCCTGCAAAGGATCCGCAATGACTGTGTGACTCAACTTCAGAAGGCCAATGTGAGTGATCCTCAGATCTTCTTAGTTTCCAGCTTTGAGTTGTCTTGCTATGATTTCCAAAGCCTGGAGACCACCCTTCTGAGGGACCTCCCAGCCCACAAGCGCCACATCTTTATGCAACACCTGCCAAATATTACTGAGGCCATCATTGACTGGAAGAGTGATTCCCTGAAACAGAAGGTCTGGCTGGAGGCCCTGAAGGCTGGAGCATCGGCCACTGTCCCTTTGATGGGCTACATCAGTGATAAAGATGTACAGACTTTAAAGGACACTTTAACACTCTACAGGGTTTACTTTGGGCTGGATGATGCATCCCTGAAAACCATGGCCAAGGACTTTCATGTGTCATTGGAGAAACTCAAGGCAAACCTTACGTCTCCCCATTTGCTATCAATTGAGAAGGATGATGGTTCTTTAGGGGAAAAACTGTTAAGATATGTGGAAAAATTCTGCTCTGTTAGTGGAGGACCCATTGCTGCTGGTCTTTACTTTAGGAAGATTTACTATGTGCAAAATTATTTCCTTGAGACTGTGGCAAGTGATGCGAAAGTTCTTCTTAAAAAAGAGATTTTTAAGGACTCTGAGGAACCTGGGCAAGCCTATCTACCTCAGGATGTTGGGAATAAAAATGGGAAAAGTAAGGCAGCCAGCTCCTGAATTATTCTCAGTGTTGGCATGGCACTGGTGCCTGGAAAGATAACTTAGGGTTTCCTTTAAGCATTCTGACCCACTGCCCTCAAGGGTATCACAGATATTTCCATAATACACTCTTGAACAAACTATGAACTTAGTGACTATTATTTGACAGTGAGAGCAATGAGCTCTAAAGAATCCTTCCTTCATATGATCCTTCATATGATTCTTTTGGAAAATATGAAGGACAGTAATCTGGAATTTTCTGCTTAGCAGAGAGAATAACTCTGTGTGATGGTTACTTCATGCACAGCACTGGTCTTTCTACTGACATACTAGTTAAAAATGGCTATGCTCGTAGTGGGTTCTGAAAAATGAATTTTTAAATAAATGCATACATAGTGTATCTTTGGTGTTCCTGACATTCTGTTATGAATCCATAAATTCTTTTCCTTAAAGTTTTTTTTTAAAGATTTTATTTATTTATTTAACAGAGAGAGACTGCAAGAGAGGGAACACAAGCAAGGAGAATAGGAGAGGGAGAAGCAGGCTTCCTGTAGAGCAGGGAGCCTGATGCGGGGCTCTATCCCAGGCCCTGGGATCATGACCTGAGCTGAAGACAGACGCTTAACGACTGAGCCACTCAGGTGCCCCTAAAGTTTTTATTTAAATTCCAATTAGCGAACATACAGTGTAATATTAGTTTCAGGTGTGCAATATAGTGATTCAACACCTCCATGTAACACCCAGTGCTCATCACAAAAAGTACACTCCTTAATTCCCATCTCCTATTTAACCCATCCCCCCAGTCACCTCCCTTCTGGTAACCATTAGTTTGTTCTCTATAGTTAAGTGTCTATTTCTTGGTTTGCCTTTCTCTCTCTTTTTTTCCCTTTGCTTATTTGTTTTGTTTCTTAAGTTCCACATATGAATGAATTCATATGATATTTGTCTTCTTTGAGTGACTTATTTCACTTAACATAACTCTATCCTCATCCATGTCATTGCAAATGGCAAGATTTCATTCTGTTTTATGGCTGAGTAATATTTCATTGTATCTATATCTTTATCTATATCTATATATCATATCTTATTAATCCATTGATCAGTCAATGGACACATGGGCTGTTTCTATTATTTGGCTATTGTAAATAATGCTGCTATAAACATTGGGGTGCATGTATCCCTTTTAATTAGTATTTTTCTAATCTTTGGGCACATACCTAGTAGTGCTGCATCATTGGGTACTTCTATTTTTAACTTTTTGGGGAGCCTCCATACTGTTTTCCAGAGTGACTGCACCAGTTTGCATTTCTACCAATGGTGCAAGAGGGTTCCCCTTTCTCCACATCCTCACCAATACCTCCTGTTTCTTGTATTGTTGATTTTAGCCATTCTGACGAGTGCAAGGTGATATATGATTGTAGTTCTGATTTGCATTTCCTTGATAATGAGTGATGTTGAGCATATTTTCATGGGTCTTTTGGCCAGCTGGACACCTTCTTTGGAAAAATGTCTATTCATGTCTTCTGCCCATTTTTATGTTATTTATTATTTGTATGTTGTATTGTATAAGCTCTTTGTATATTTTGGATACTAACCCTTTATGAGGTATGTTATTTGCAAATATCTTGTCCCATTCCAGAGGTTGTCTTTTAGTTTTTTGTTGTTTCCTTCACTGTGCAGAAGCTTTTTCTTTTGATGTAGTCCAAATAGTTTATTTTTGCTTTTGTTTCCCTTGTCTCAGGAGACTCTTCTAGAAAGAAGTTGATAAAGCCAATATCAGGGAAGTTACTGCCTGTGTTCTCTTCTAGGATTTTTATGGTTTCAGGCCTCACATTTAATTCTTTAATCCATTTTTCTATTTATTTTTGTGTACGGTATAAAGAAGTGGTGCAGGGTGCCTGGGTGGCTCAGTTGGTTAAGCGACTGCCTTCGGCTCAGGTCGCGATCCTGGAGTCCTGGGATCGAGTCCTGCACTGGGCTCCCTGCTCAGCGGGGAGTCTGCTTCTCCCTCTGACCCTCCTCCCTCTCATGTGCTCTCTCTCATTCTCACTCTCTCAAATAAATAAATAAATAAAATCTTAAAAAAAAAGTGGTGCAGTTTTAGGGCGTGTCTCTGGTTTGTGTTGCATGGACTTTGCTGTTGTGTTTTGGCTGCTCTTTCAGGCCAGTTGTCTGTAGAGGCTCTCCTTGCATACAGTAGGCAGTGTTTGGTCCTTGTCCTGAATGTCCTGAGTTTTAACTAAGTGTGCTCTGGTCTTCTTGTGAAATGAGACCTGACACCACCTTTATGAGAACTGAAGACCTGCAGAACTCTCTGGTTGGTGGGAGATGTGGTGTGGGCAGGGATTTGTACTGGTTTCTGGGTGAGGAACCTGTCATGCTGGGACTGATGGAAGCCTGACTAAGAAGGGCATTTTCACTGGAGCTCAGAGGGGTGGTGCTTGGTGTATACAAGTTAAGCAGCTAATGTTGGCACTCTGCTGTTTCCTGCAGGTGGCTCTGTGTTTATGCTGAGGGGCGGGGGAGGGAAAGGGCACTGACCATTTCCTTTGTTCCCAGAGAGGTGTCTCCATGATGATGCCTCTCAGGGACTGGTCTGAGAAGATTGACTCATCTCCCCTCTGTGTGCCCCAGGTGCTATTTAGATCACTGTTTCTAGACTGTCTATCCTGGGGTTGTTTGCCTGTGTTCTCTCCAAAAGCAGTGTAGTGCCTCTGGGATCTAACCCAGCCAAGGCCACTGACCTTTAAGACTCCAGGCTTTAAGCCCTACCAGTTTCAAGAATTCATGACATTCAGACCCTCCTGTTTCCTATGCCAATGGCTTTGGGGAAATGTTTTCCTTTTGTGTTGCCTGTGTGCTCCATTCTCTCTTGTCCTTCTCTATGACCATGCCTCCTTTCCCTCCACAGCCACCCATGATCCCATTCTCCCCTAAACCATGGCTCTGCATTTCCTACCTTATTTGATGTGGCCTTTTCTCTCCTTTAGTCATGGAGTTTGTTCTGTAGTCCTCATGGTCTATTCCTGGGGTATTTAAGATGATTTGATAGTTACCCAGTTGCATTTGTGGGACAAGGTGAGCCTAGGGTCCTCCTACTCTGCCACCATTTTCCTCTCCAAAACATTTGCTTTCATTCATGAATGCATATATTCTGATCTTTAATAGATCATCAATTAATGTTCACTGATATCCTTCTTGTCCTTTCTTGGGTTATCATTGTATTTAATAAACATAAAAGGTAGATGAACATGTGTCACAGGAAATGAAAGAGAAACATTAGCTAAGAAAAATCTTTATCTGGGGTATTTGTGAGAGAGACAAGTGCATAAGATGGGAACATAGTCAAAGGGTTTGCATATTGTAGGCCTAGACACTCCTTGCTTGCTAGCAGTATATTTTGTGCCTAAACTTCAGAGGTTAGGGAATAAGAGACAAGAGGATTGTGATTACTACATGGAAATAAAAAGAAAAATGCAAAAGGTCCTTAAACATATCCAACCCCTCATCTAATGAGGGAAATGCAAATTAGAATTGGCATCTACACTAAGATATCATTTATCCCATATTAGATTAGGGGAAATTACAAAGTTTGGTGAAACTGTAGAAAAATAGTTGTTCTACAATGCTGGTGGTTGCACAAATGATATAGCCTATAACGTGATGAATTACACCATCTCTAGGGAAACTACACACACATTTACATTTTGCCACAGTGATCCCACTTTGAAGAATCTGGGTCATAAAAATTGAGGGTAGATTGGTTGTTGGCAGGGGTTGGAAAATGGGAAAAAGGTGTAATGTTATTGAAAGAGTACAAGCTTTCAGTTGTAAGATGAATATTACTATTGCCAATAATACTGTTTTATATACTTGAAATTTGCTAACAGTGTAGGTCCTGAGCATTACTACCACACACGCACAAAAGGTAAATATGTGAGGTGATGAAAGTATTAATTGACTGTGGTAATCATTTCATAAAATGTATAATTATATCACATCATCACCTTGTGCACTTTAAATATATATGATTTTATCTGTCATTTTTAACCAAATAAGCTGGGGTGGGGGGAGGGACAAAAAAACTGGAAAAATTACCAAAAAATATATATTTAAAGTTATTACTTGCAGCACTATTTGAAATGGGAAAACACTAAGTTGAAATGATCTTCAATAGGAAATGTTATAGCCACAGCTGTGGCTATAACTATGACAACTATACAAAGGAGTGAGTAATACCCTATATATGGCTATGCCTTCATCTTCAGGATATATTGTTTATTGTTCAATGAAAAAAGTAAGATGGAGAATTATGTGTATAGTATGTTACTGATGATCTAAGACAGTTCAAAATATAAATATATATTTGCATATATTCTTCAATTAAACAAGAGAAAACTTTAGGAATAAAATTTAATTACCTACAGGGGAAGTGATGATACTGGGTAGAGAGTCAGTGGTAAGAGCTAGATTTCACTTAATGCAACTTATTTTCATTGGAACTATGCAAATGTTTTACATAGATATGTAACTGTATAGTTAAACAAAAGACCCGACATTTATAGAAGTACAAAGCAAATCAAGCAAATTAAGCTAATGGGTGGTTTAACAAAGCAGATTTTTTAAATTTTTATTTATTTTTTCATAATTTTAAAAATTCCAGTATAATTAGAGTTAAGATGGCAGAGGAGTAAGGGGTCCCTAAGTTTGTCTCAGCCCTGGAATACAGCCAGATAGGTATCAAATCATTCCGAACATCTGAGAAATCAATCATAGATCGGAGAAAAGAAATGCTGTGAGTCTACTTGTAGAAAAGTTAGGAGGTGTAGAGATTTGAACCTGTGGTGACATAACTGAGGATATGGCAGAGGAGAGGGACCCTGCTTAAGGAGGCTACTGCAAAGTATTATAAACAAAAGAGAGCAAAATTGGGATGTTTAAAAGTCTGCTACAATGAAGGACGTCCCTGGCTTAAAGGTCCTCAGGTGTTGAATCAGGGCAGAATCATAGGTGTGACAGTGTGGTCTCAAGATCCCTGGGGTCACAAGAAGAATGTGGGGGTTGGGTGGGGTGGGTGCCTGAGTGGAGCAGAGTTCCCAGGCATAGGAGTGGGGAAACTGGCTAAAAACAATGAGTCTAGGGGCCAGCTTTCTGTTCTATGTTGCCACAAACTGTGAACCACTCCATGGTCATGCCACTGCTTTCCTGCAAGGGGCCCAGCAAAAAGCAGAAGTGTGATGAGACCCACTCCCTCCCCTAGGAAGAACAGTATGGATCCCAGCCACAGGAGTCCATAAAATTTGGAGTTCTGAAACTCAGTCACATGCCTGGGA